CACAACAGCCTACAATCGAACTCAACATAGACACAAACTACATTTCAAGATTACCATACATACACCGGAATTAAATTTAAAATTAATGATAGACACCGGATCAGCTAGCAGTTTGCTACGCCCTCAAGTCGCACAACAATTTTATCCTTCTTACATCAGAGAAGATGCATTTCAAATACATTCAGTTCACGCAACCACTCAACATTCAGAAAGCGTAACAATCCCAATTTCGTAAATTTTTGGAAGACCAGACATCAAACAAAAACATTTTCTATTTGACTTCAATCTTAAATACGATGGATTAATCGGAATTGATTTCCTACGTATGCTTAGACTTTGGAAAAAATCTTTTGATAACAGAAAAAGCCGTAGTTCCCATTTACTTTGAATGTGATGAAATAAAAAGAAGAAACCCAGTTTTTCAAATGAATCTTCAACCAAGAACTGAACAAATCATTCAAATACCTGTTGACAAAGATGTCACACAAGGAATCTTACACCACCAAAAATTCGACGCAGCCGAAATACCAGCCTCATACGTCACCGTCAAGGACAAAAAAGCAACGACCACTATAATCAACCCAATGGATCAAGAATTGACCTTCACATTATTCAAGCCTTTAGAAATCAATACGGTCAATACATACGAATTCAATCCACAACCACCATTATGTCCAATTCACCCGAACATTGACGAAATCTTAAAGGACAATCTATACAATCTCCGACTAAAGCACATGAACACAGAAGAAAAAGATGCAATTTGGAAATTATGCATGGCATATCGAGACATCTTTCACACCGGACGCTTACCCCTAACGTTTAACAACTCAATCAAGCATCAAATAAGAACCAAAGACGAAAATCCAACTTTTACAAAATCATACAGATACCCAGAAGTACACAAAGAAGAAGTACGAAAACAAATATAATCCATGCTAGGACAAGGAATAATTCGACCTTCAATTTCACCTTGGTCATCACAGCCTTCAGCACAGAAAATGGACATTACGAATTTCTACGTATGCCCTTTGGATTAAAGAATGCCCCAGCTACATTCCAACGAGTCATGGACAATATTCTAAGAGGAATACAGAACGAAAAATGCCTCGTTTACCTTGATGACATCATCATATTTTCAACATCACTTGAAGAACATATCTCACGACTAAAAGAAGTCTTTGAAAGATTAAGAAAAGCAAACTTCAAAATACAATTAGACAAAAGCGAATTCTTACGAAAAGAAGTAGCATATTTAGGACACGTTATCACACCCGAAGGAGTAAAACCAAACCCAGACAAAATAAAAGCAGTCATGAACTACCCATTACCGAAAACCCAGAAGGAAATTAAAGGATTTTTAGGACTACTCGGTTATTACAGAAAATTCATACCAAAGTTCACAAAACCTTTGACAAAATGCTTGAAGAAAAATGCCAAGATAACACATGACCAACAATTCATAACAACATTCGAGACCTGCAAGAAAAAAATGATATAAAAAAGATTGTTTTATTTTACGCATTGCCGATGGACTCAGGTACTCTATACAATCCCTAGGAGTTGTATACATTACCTAGGCAAAGTATGTAATGGACAATCATATTCATAATAAAGGGTGTTTCAAAATGATTTTCATCTAGTTAGCTTTAAAAGCGCTTCAACTCCTATCATTCCCTTGATGAAAATCTGAAACCATAGGTGACTAGATGAAAATCAATTTGAAACACGTTGTATTTCATACATTGCCTGGACGCCCCGGTATTCTACACATTGCCTAGGTATTGTATAGAATATCTGAATTATACAGATTGCCGGTAACATATACATTACCAAAATATTGACTAAAAGCACTCACAGTGACCGTGGGAGAAGACAATTCCCAGTTCTTGAAATTCTTCACACCTGGAATTGAATACATTTTTTTTTATTTTGGATAAATGCTCAGAACGATTTCGGTTTGATTGAAATATTCTGACATCACAGGAATTATAAACAAATTATGACGTTTTCAGTAACATCATTTGCATCTCCTAACGGAAGTGTACATGTTACCGCCAGTCAGTTAGGTACCTACCTAGGCCACTACGTCTCACCGAAACAAAAATCCGTGTCCGAGATGTTCGGTGCCTGAAAAAACGCTCACTATCAGGGAGGTAGAATGAGAGGAGAGAAGATAAATAGTTTGAAAACGTGAGTGGTACCGCGCTTTCGAATAGGGTCATAAATGGCTCTTCCAGCTTCTCCGAGAAACCGATTGTTTCAGTGCCGTGCTGGAAAGCGCTTGTCGGGTACTGGGCATAAAACATAAAATTAATTTAAAAACATAAAATGTAAAAGCGGTAGCAGTAGCATTTTATGTTGTTAGAAATCTCAGTTTTTATGCTATAATTAAACAAATAGTAAGACATGTTTACTCTCTATGAACATATTTTAAACCACTCTCGAAATGGTACAAGTATGATCAAAAATGATTTTTGATAACCCAAACATCCCGCCTTAAATTGACATGTGAAAAAAAATTGAAAGCCCGCGAAAAATTTAAAAATTCCAAAATTTGACCTTGGCTGTGATCGTCTGACAAAAAGGAACCCTACGTTGTGTTTTCGAAAAATGGCGGGATGCGTTAAGACGCAAATGGTGGACCCCAAGATTGGAAAAGTACCGCCAAATAAAACACAAAATTTATGGAGGACACAAAATTATTCTCCACTAACAAAAAAAAAAAAAGAAAAAAAAAGCGCCGTGCGAGGATGACTCCTGACTTGCCCTCAGGCTGCCCAATGGGGGCCGAATCGCAATAGCTGTTCAGCTCCAAAAAAAAAAACTTATTGAACTTCGGATGAAATTTAAAAAAAATTAAATTAAACGTTCTGAATCAATGCAAATATTTGATATCACAAATTTAATAAAACCAAATAAAAATCGGAATTAAAGTAACTGGATGCAAATATACAAGTTATTACAAACGTATGGCCGCAAATTTAAAATTATGACAGTCAACAAGAGCACAATAAAAATACATATAGGGGCGTTCTAACACAAGCGGAGTTTGGGATACCGATCGTGGCTGCTCTGCCCCGCGACGGTGATTCTATCTATCGCAAGCACTGTCGCAAAGCATCTCTCTATTACGGACGTGCCGCACGAGCAGGCCGTTGCGGTCGCAGATCCGCAGTTGGGTCTCAGCTATCACGGAGCGGATAGCGTTACAACATCGCGACCGCCCCTGAATTCTATACTAACCGGCATCTTTTGTGCAGGTAACGCGATAAATCTCGCCAGCCCGACTAGGAACCGCGCACTCCGCTCCTGCCACGTTTTCTGTGTTATTTAACCTCAATTCCATTTTAAATGTTCAATTTCTTATAACTCTGATATTAACGACAACTGAACAAGTGTTAAAGTTTCAAAAAAGAGCAATAAACATCATCTAAATTCGCCATACAAACTTGTGAAATTTTAAACAAATAATTCTTATGTGAGATTAAAGTTGGATCAGATATACGATGAAAACATTCATCTACAAAATATTTACAAAACAAAAACTAGCAAAAATTAAAAGAAAAAAACAAAAGATCTGGTGTGAAATAAACTTGTGCAAATAAAAATATTACGTGAGGTTAGACCCTGCAGAGCATGAAAGTTTACGTTCAATTTAAATTATATAACAAAGAAAATTACTGAGGTTAAAATTGTGAGATAAAAAAATATTGTATGACTGTGACGTCATCGTCACGATTAATCTTCGTTAAACAAAGGCTTCTTCCCTTTTATTAACTACCAAACCAACTAATTTAACTTAGCTAACTTACAGCGTCCTTTCACCATGCAAGTACAACACCACCAAAATCAACAATGACCCTTTTAACATGGCCGCTACCTTCTACCAAACCGCCCTCTTGTAACCAACCCTCTAACTAGCAAGCAGAACTACCAATTACCCAACAAGCGTTACCGTGCATATGGTTACCTGTGTTTAACGATTTTTTTTATTGTTTTTTTTTTCCAAATTCAAATTATTCAAATGTGATTTCGCGCCGCTATTAATTAAATTCAGCGCGAAAATTTGTTTCAAATTCGGTCACCACAGGCAAAGCGTGGAGCTGTTTTGCAAGCGTTTCTTTAACATTGATAAGAGAGAAAACAAGGAGCAGTGCATCAACGCAATGGATCTTACCAAATCATTCATTCTGAGAATTCGGCCTCACACGAAGTCAGTTTCAATACAGAACCACCACAGCTTTTAGAAACTTACCAGTTCTCAACTGTTTCCGTTTAAAAAAACCCTTCAGTGTTGCCTCAGAATTCACCATCCCCCTTCTGAAGTCTTTTGGTCAGGACCATTAGCTGGGATGACTGAAAATGCGACAAGAAATTCCTCGACGTTCCACAATAAGCTCTCCCCAGGCGCAACTGTATCGAACCATGCCTCATCTCTAATAAGTATTACCACCACCACCCGTATCTTGTCGGTTTGCACAGACCTACCAACTGTCACCATACTAAAAAGGCACTGGAAACTGTCTTTTTCTCTTATAAAGCTAGGCGGCCAAGTATCAATTTCGTATATCTGCCAGGCATTCAGCATTCGAGAGGTTCCGCGTTTAACCCCTGGTACTGCCTGATTTTGCAGTGTTTTTTTTTGAGTAGGTTTCCCATTAGGGGAATGTCTAATCAGTATTTATCCTTCAGTTACCTGACTCCGTTCCTTCCGAACTCATCGTTAACCGCACACATCTTTTATTACTTCGAGTGTGGCTGAAGAGGGCCGGGAACCCCTGCAGCAGCCAGTTTTTTTTTAGAGGGGGGAATGAAATATGAGTTTTTTTTTTTTCTTTCGGTCCTTCCCGATTTTTAGAAAACTTCAAGAGCGGTCCAATTCGACATGATAATAGTTCACTTTCACTATATAGGTATACATAAGTAAGTGAAGCATAATTAATTTGATTCAGGTAAATATCAGTAATACAGTAATTGGCAGATCTAAATGTCAACAATTTTAATGCTTTAGACAGTTATTAATTTTTTCAAAATTTCAAGTTTTCTTTTCTAATAAAATTGTTCATAATGGAAACATTCACACTCAACAAACTGCCTGCAGTCGCAAAACCAGTTTCTTTTGTGCCACCGCCCTACTGTAGAAATGCTCAGAGAAAAGAAGTCGTACGTGCACAGGAAAAACTGCTTTCTTTGAAGCTTAGAGTTTCAAATCCATCTAAGTTGTTATTACTATGTGAAACACTTACGGATAACTCAAGTAAAGCCCTTGAAGTTAAGCTCAATACCTACGTAAGTACAAAATTAAATTTAACTTTAATTACGTATTGGTTAACAATATTCTTTTCATATTATTTCAAGCTTTTGGCCCGCGGTTTCGCTCGCGTAGACGATTCGTTTTGTTGAAGAGCATTGTTACCAATCTTCAAGTAAAAAATCTGTTGAGGGGCATTAATACAATTTCCAGTAAAAATCGACATAAAAATATTATTGCTCATAAAAACTTTGTCACCTCCTTTCATCTTCTTAGGGGTGGAATCTCGAAATAGTCTGAAATACGTGTTTCATTATTTGTGTAGAAGAGTATTACCTAATACCAAGTTCCAAGTAAAAATTTAAATTTACAGTCGAAATATTTTTCCCATACAAACTTCGCCACCACTTTTCACCTCCTTAGGGGCTGAATCTCAGAAAATGCTTGAATACGTGTTTTATTATTTGTTTTGAAGAGCATTAAAACCAAGTTTCACGTAAAAATTTAAATTTACAATAGAAATGTTTTTCCCATACAAACTTAGCCTCCACATATCACTCCCCTAGGGGTTGAATCTGGGAAAATGCGAGTTTCATTCTTTGTATTGAAGAGCATTAATTTAATATCAAGTTTCACGTAACAATTTAAATTTGCAATAGAAATACTTTTCCCATACAAACTTAACCAGTACTGTTCGCCCCCTTAGGGGTTGAATCTTGGAAAATGCTTAAATACGTGTTTCATTATGCATTAATACTAAATTCCACGTCAAAACAATAGGAATAATTTTCCGATATAAAGTTAGCCACCACTTTTCACCCCCTTAGGGGTTGAATCTCGGAAAATGCTGAAATACGTGTTTCATTATTTGAGTTGAAGTTCATTAATGCCAAGTTTCACGTAAAAATGGAAATATACAATAGCAATATTGTTCCTATACAAACTTAGCCGCCCAAACTTGGACACCACTTTTCACCTCCTTAGAAGTCGAATCTGCCAAAATGCTTAAACACGTGTTTCGTTGTTTGTGTTGAAGAACATTAATATCTGGTTTTAAATAAACATTATTATAAAAATATGTTTGCCAATACACACCCCTTTTCGCCCTCTTGGGGGTTGAATATAGGAAAATGCTTAAACATGCATTTCATTTTCTGTATTGAATGGAACCAGGTTTCAGTTAACAATGTAAATTTCCAGTAGGCATATTGGCCCTATACAAATTTTATCACCTCTTTTCACCCCCTTAGGGGATGAATTTCGAGAAATCCCTTCTTAAACGATGCTTTCAGTATAAAGTGAACAAAACTCCAAATTTCAACTTTCGAGCATTAGCGGTTTGGACTGGGCCCATGATAGGTCAGTCGGAACATGGCCTTTTATATAGGTAATAATATAGATTAAGCACTCACTGCTAATCGAAGTGATAATCAAACAACTTGATGTGGCAACAGAAACACCAAAATACCATAGTATATATAATACACTGCCTTTCAAAAAAATTGCAACACTTAGAAAACGTTTCTTTTTTAATGACTTATATGCACCCATCGAAGCACCATGTTCTTCGGAAAAGATGATGAAAATATGGTGGTAAACAACGCACGCTTTGGAATATTTTTCTTGTTTTTCTTGGCGAAGAAGTTAGCATTTTTATCATTTTTTTAACAAACTTTATAAATTGTTTTTGTGGTTGTTTGTCAGTTCTGTCAGTTTATGCAATAAAATGCCACCGGTGCGAAGAAATGTTAAATTTGAACAAATTGGCGCCTTTGACAGAGGTAGAATTGTGGGTATGCGAGAGGCTGGTTTGTCGTACCCTTAGATCATATAATAAATAGATACCACCATGCCGTGTTCTTTCCCTAGGACAGCCTGTGACGACATCCTCCTGTCACACATCTCTCTCGTGCATGGAGGGATTACAATGAAGCTATTTGAATTTTGCGCGCCTAAATTTTAGGAAGTATGTCTGAACTAACTTCGGAAGAAAGATGTTGACAGCTTGATTTTATAAATAATTCACAGTAGATAACGAAAGGAATAGTAAATTATTGGGCAGCAATTGTGATCCTTTATGACTACATCACTTAAAATAGGATCTTTGTTCTAAATTCTAAAATTGTTTTTTGTACAACAACTCGAAAGAGAGGTTAGAAGAAACATCTGTCAAAAGCAATTTGTTGCGCTGGTGCGGTACAAGGATGGAAGTGAAATAGACATACACAGATGAAATGCATATAGCAAAGATGAAGATGTGGTGATCACACAAGGATAGCATTATACTACTCCCCTTGACGTAGAAAACGACAACATACACCTTCATGTCTAGTCACAGCTTTCAGTTTGAGTATTGGTATCTATTTATTATATCATCTAAGGTCGTACCGTGAAATTGCAAGACAATTTTACGAATATGCAGGGAATATGCAGGTCGTGGTAAATGAGGAGCTCAGAGCACGTCGTAAGGGCAGTGGGCGCCGAGGAGTAACTGGTGAACGTATTTTCAGTGTTGCTCTCTGTTGCAATTTTTTTGAAAGGCAGTGTATGTGTAGTGTGTACCCACTGTTTTCACTGCAATTCTTATTCAACGCAAACTATTTTTATTTTCACAAACTGGAGTTTCACCTTACAATAAAAGGTAAATGCACGCATAACTGTACGTTAAAATTTCCGGTTAAAGTAAGGGTGACTTGTAGTTACGACAGTATTTTAAAAAGACTGAAAAAGAAAACAATGTGCAGTATTTTCTGCAACAAACATGACTACCAATAATAGCAAAGTATAGTAAATGAAAATAAATTGGTCTAAAGAGTTTAGACTATTGTGTTTTTTTTTCTCATTACATTTTTGTAGTGGGAATTTAAAAAAAAATTGTGATGACGTCATCAACATTTTTACAAGGACACGTATATCAGTTGGGATAGATGTAGTGTAATACTAAGAATAAAATTATTGTATTCCCAAATTTTCGGGAAAATGAATTGGGTCGTTTTGAATATTGATTTCTTATAATCAATAAAATAACGAAACAATTTACTCAGGTATACGGCGCCGGTGTGTAATATCTAGAGAGCGGATTTCTGTCGGGCTAGGCAAGGCCAAACTCGGTACGGCTCGTACGGGATCCGAATTCTTTGCGATTGCGGACTGCACTTCGTTTATTTGAGATTAGAATAAAGCTGTTTCGTTGCACTCTGCTGTTAATTCCCGTTCTCATTTACTTAGCCGTTTGATTAATAAATCGTTAATTATATTTATGGAGTTAGTACCGATTAAACGTGACGTAGCCCGACAAAAATCCGCTGTCTGGTAATATGAAACTCAACTGAAAATCGTTTATGTATAAACATTCTTAATTTAAGATGACAAGCGTAACAGCATACGTGAGAGTCAAACAGAGAAACTGTAAACAAAACGACCATCGGTTTTATTGCTTCGACTTCCGCTTATTATATAAAACATTGGGTTTTATTTTAATTCTTGACGGTGAAATTCACAATTGGTTGATTATAAACATGTCTATTTCACATTCGCGGAACCAAGTGAGCGCATAAAACAAATGCAGGTCTGTAATGTTAAAGTCGATGTAAATAAGCGTGCTACCCTTATGTTTCAACCGAGTTTTTCCTTTAACAAATTTTGTGTCTACCAAATTGGGTTGGTTGGGGTGTAATACTAATAATAACTGTTGCCTTTAATTTAATCAATAAAATAAATTGACTTCATTAATTTTTTTGAACCACCTCTTAAGAAAATCTAAAAAATATGAATGGAATGATAAATCACAAGTACAAACTCATCATATTTTTTGCATTTTAGATAGGATTTATTCAGCAAAATTTAAGGGTGACGTCATCAATTTTTTTAGGAGGGATGAACAAATACATTTTGAACAAAAGTTTACCATGCTTATAATAACTTTAAAATATTCCCAAGATTTCAAAGCATTCGGTTTTGTAATTCCTGATTAAATCGATAAAATAAATTCACGCCTTCATTAATTTTTTTGAGTCACCCTGCATATGCAAATCCAAAAATATGAACGGAATGATAAATCACAAGTACAGACTCATCATATTTTGTACATTTTAGATACGATTTATTCGGCAGACTTTTGAGCTGACGTCATCAGTTTTTTGTAGAAGATAACCAAATATATTTTGACTAAAAATTTATTATGCTCTTTATAACCTTAAAACATCTGCAAGATTTCAAAGCATTCGGTTTTGTAGTTCCTGATTAAATCAATAAAATAAATTTACGCATTCATTAATTTTTTTGAGTCACCCTGTATATGCAAATCGAAAAAATTTGAATGGAATGATAAATCACAAGAAGAGACTCACCATATTTTGTACATTTTAGATAGGATTTATTCAGCAAAATTTTGTGGTGACGTCATAAATTTTTTAGGGGGGACGACCAAATACGTTTTGATCAAAAATTTTCCATGCTTATGATAATTTTAAAATATCTTCAAGATTTCGAAGCATTCGGTTTTGTAGTTCCTGAGTAAATCTGTAAAATAAATTTACGCTTTCATTTATTTTCTTGAATCACCCTGTATATGCAAATCCAAAAAGCATGAATGGAGTGATAGATCACAAGTACAGACTGATCATATTTTGTACATTTTAGATATGATTTATTCGGCAAATTTTCGAGCTGACGTCATCAAGTTTTTGGAGGGGATAAGCAAATAAATTTTGACTAAACATTTATTATGCTCTTTATAACCTTAAAACATCTGCAAGATGTCAGAGCATTCCGTTTTGTAGTTCCTGATTAAATCAATAAAATATATTTATGCATTCATTAATTTTTTTGAGTCACTCTGTATATGCAAATCCAAAAAATATGAATGGAGTGATAAATGACAAGTACAGACTCATCATATTTTGTACATTTTAGATATGATTTATTCGGCAAACTTTCGAGCTGACGTCATCAAGTTTTTGGAGGGGATAAGCAAATATATTTTGGCTAAACATTTATTATGCTCTTTATGACCTTAAATCATCTGCAAGATTTCAGA